AGGCGGGCGGCCCGAGCCCACCACCAGCCGCCTCCCATGGTTCGCACTACGGCCGCCGCGCACCGCCCCGCCCCACGGGTCGCCAGTAGGCCAAACTGCACGTCGCTCAGAATTCAGGCGCACCCATTGGTCGCGCGCAAGCCACTTAGACCCGGTGTGCACTGCCCATTGGTCGAGGTTGGCGGTGAGTCCCTCCTCTGTCATCAGTGCCGGTACCGCGAGTCCCACTTTGCTTCTATCGCTGGACTACAAATACCGGTGCTCATTGCCGGGGTGGGGAGAGGTCGGGCTACCGCAGCCAGAGGCCCGATGTCTGCTGGGACTTGTAGTTTGGGTAATAAGTAGACCCAGTGGCCAGTAAACAAAATGCAACTTGAGGCGCTTAATAGAGAACCTTTGCAAAATATTGAAGACCCCAGAGGCGACAGTAAAACACCGATCCCTCCAATGAGCAGTTAATGCTAATTTGTTACAACCTTGTCCTGTCTTCTATATACAGTAAGAAAATGAGATGCTGTTTGACAAAACGAAGTTTACCATATAACAATAAATCTTGAACACTGGAGTCATCGACTCTTTTGTGCCAGCAACAAGTTGAATGGTTCAAATTGATGCACTTTGTGAATACAGCCCCTATACTGTATCCAGTGCCCCCCAATCCCACTAAAGCAGTAATGCAAGAAAAGGAACTAAAATGCATGAAGATCAGGCAGAGAAGTAAAACTCTCACTATTTGTATATGATGTGTTTGTTTATGTAGGAAAAACTATAAAGAATCAACAAGGCAACTTCTAGGGCTAATAAGTGAATTTAACAAGTTGAGGATAGAGTCAATATATAAAAATCAATTTTACATTGATACACAAGCAACAATTGTAAGGTGAAAGTAAAAATAATTCTCTGTAAATTGCACCCCTGAAATTAAAATAATTTTATGTCCATTGTACCTCAACTTAAAAATTCAAATAAAACCATTCCCTTACAAGTAGTTTGGAGTAAACAGAGCCCCAAAGAATGAATCTTAGGCCCAGGAAAAATTGTAGTGAGACTGAACATAGCCCATAAAATAAGCATCAAGTATTTACCATCGTCAGTTTCCTTGCTTACCTGCAAGGGCAGCTGTGGTGATTAGGTTTTCTGAGAAGCCCAGAGTGTGCAGAAAACTCTGGAAGCCAGGACAGCAGCTCTAGCACCTCCGGTACCAGCCAAGAGTAAGGATGAATGATCTGACTCTTCAGGGGCACTTTTTTTTTTTAAGATTTATTTATGCATACAGGAACTGGGGTACAAGCCAGGGGTGGGGGCGTCAGTGAGAGAACTCACCAGAGACAGAGTTGGGGAGCAGAACAGGCAGATCCACTGAAATCCACTGCTGAGGGGAGCATAGGGGAGACAGGAGAGGTCTGCTGCGCCAGGTCAGTCAGCTCCTTGGCTGGGGATGGGACTCGTGCTGAGACTTAACCCCCTGCACCACCAGGGAGGGCCCTTGATTAAGTATTTACAACATACCAAGCTCTTTCTGGAGATAGTGAGTATAACAACAGTTAAACAAAAAACAACAGAAAAATGGTGGTTCTTATGGACCTGACGCTACTTGTGGGGAGGGGGGGAACGGAAGGATTAATGTAATTCCAGGAAGCACTCAAACCCACAGAGAAAATACACCAAAGTGATGAAGTGGGCAGCGAATTCTGAGCACCTCACGCGTGTGTGGTCTCTTCCCGTGCCCCATCAGGATGTGACCAAACAGCAGGTGGTTGGGATGCCTTGAGTCTTGGGGCCTTGTTGAAGTTTCCCTTTTTTTTTTTTTTTTTTAAGATTTATTTATGCATGTAGAACTGGGGTACAGTCCAAAGGTCTGGGGTGGGGTGAGAGGATTCACCAGAGACAGAGTGGGGAGCAGAACAAGCCGATGTACAGAAATACACTGCTGAGGGGGGCCGTGGGGAGAGGTCTGCTGAGCCCTGGGGGTCAGCTCCCTGGCGGGGATCGAACTCCCGCTGTGGTGGTGCGGCCAGCTCCACAGTGCTGCGCACTGACCCACTGTGCCACCAGGGAGGGCTCCAACGTTGCCTGTTTTACTTGAAGTGAGCAGTGCACCTCTGGGAGATTTGAGCTGAGGCAGGGCATCGTCTGCCTGTGTCTTTAGACGCCAGAGCGGCTGCTGGGTTTAGCGCCAGAGGGAGCTTTCAGGGGCATTGGTGGTGTCCACTCCACACCCTGGCTCCCTTGCCCTCTGGCAACCTGGTGGCCAGGGCTCCGCTGCTGCCTGCGGGGAGAGCTCGGACTCCTGGAGGGGACTGGGTGGAGGGGGCAGCAGCAAATGGAACGTAATAGATCTCCTGCAGCTGGCGAAGAGAGCGACGCATTAAGTGGGATTAAATAGGAACTGAAAGTATTTGAGAGGCATTTTGCACATTCTTGGCTGGTGAAATGATTTTTCCTGAATGGTGGGGGCGGGCGGGGGGCGGGGCAGGGTGAGGTAGAGAAACAAACCCTCTGGACAGAGACTGGTGGGAGGCTGGCGGCACCTGAGTTCTTACTAGATTAGTGGCGCGGACAGATCCTCCCCAGGCTTGAAAAACTACTGTTGCCAAAAAGAAATACTTTTGAAGAAAACAAAAAATAGTTTTAAAAGCAAAAACTTTTTTTTTCCTTCTTCAAATGAAGGGCATGATTATTCCTCGAGCCCCAGCCCAGCCCAGCCCAGCCCTTACCTGGGCCGTGACTCTGGACCCAGGAGCCTTTCACAGTGGATGTTATTTTTATTCAATGCACAGGATACATATGTGACTTGATAAAGATGTGCCCTAAGGTGAGGGTGGAATCCTGTTACAATGGATACTGACACCAAGGCTCTGTGTCCACCAGCTGTGCCGGTGTGTCTATAAATACACGAGCTGACAGCACCCGTCACCCTGCGCAGGCCAATTTCCTGACAAACACAGCACGGACTTACGAGTCCTGTCCTCTACACGCATTTTCTCTTCCTTCGGAATTTTCTTAGGAATATTTTCTTTTTAAAAAGATTTATTTATTTATTTATGCATTCAAGAACTGGGGTACCAGCCAGAAGTGTGGGGAGAGGTGAGAGGACTCACCAGAGACAGGGAGGAGAAAACAGGCCGACTGACAACGTGCACTGGTGAGGGGAGCAGGAGAGGTCTGTGGCGCCCTGGCTGGGCTCAAACTCGTGCTGCAGTGGCTGCAGAGAGCCTCACAGTGCTGAGACGGTGGTTCCCCTCTACCATCAGGGAGGCCCCACTTTTTACTTGTTCATGCTGACTGTTTCCTCTCTGTTCTCCCACCTGTTCTGTGCTGCCCAAACTTTAGCCAGGTTTCCCCCCACTGGCCCTGGACAGCCGTGAGCCCCAACAGCCAGCCAGTGCTGCCCTGGGGAACCTGCCCCAGCAGTCTCTCCTGAGAATCCCTTGACCCCAGAGATCACCTGTTGCCAACCCCCTAAGTAACTACTTGGCTCCCCATGCCCCCCCGACCTCCTCTTGCTGCATCTCGCCTCCTCCCCATGACTAGCAACGCCTTTGCTGTTGGATTTTGAAATGTTTGCAGATTTCTCCTGACTGCAAATGTCTTTTTGAAGAAAGCACCTCCTTTTTTGTTGCTGTTAAGATTTATTATTTATGCATACAAAAACTGGAGTGTAGGCCCTCCCTGGTGGCACAGTGGGTTAAAGAACAGCAATAAGAGACTAAAGCCACTGCAGCATGAGTTCGATTCCCACCTGCCCCGGAGGTGACCACATGGTGCGGCAGACTCTCCTGACCCGCCCGCTGCTCCCCTCAGCAGTGTACTTCGTTGATCTGCCTGTTCTGCTCCCCACTCTGGCTTCTGGTGAAGCCTTGCCGCCCCTGAGCCTCTGCCCCTAAATACAGCCCCAGTTCTGTATGCACAAATAAATCTTTAAAAAAAAAAAAAACAAACAAACTGGAGTGTAGGCCAAAAGTGTGGGAGAGGGAGGATTCCCCTGAGACACAGTGGGGAGCAGGACAGGCAGATTAACTGAAATTCACTGCTGAGGGAAGCAGCGGGGAGTCAGGAAAGGTCTGCGCTGCCCTGTGGGTCACTCCCTGACTCAGATCAAACTCAGGCCACAGTGGTGAGAGTGCTGAGCCTTGACGCCTAGGCCACCAGGGAGCACCCCCACCCCCAAACATTCTTACCTTAGTGGATGCTGAAGCCATTGGAATTCAGAGTTCTGAGTGACAGCTGAAGTGGCTTTTACTCAGAATGGAAGGATTAGCAGCATTTCAAGGCCCAGACCCTGAACTTGACCTGGAGTTTACCAGCTTCAGTTGTCAGGAGGAGGGCGCCAAGATGTCCATGCCTTAATCCACATCCACCTGGGCAGGTGTCATGTACCTGGCAAAGGAGACCTTGAAAAATCTAAGGGTCTTGAGATTGTCCTGGGGGCCCCATCTTCTCACCTGGTCCTTCCCAGCTGTGTTGAGATGGGACAGTGCAGGACGGGTGGGAGATGAAACCTTCTGGCTTTGAGGACGTAGAAGGGAACTTGAGCCAGTGTGGGCAGCCTCCAGAAGCCGGAAAAGGCTTTTCCCTCCCAAAGGGAATGTAGCCTCACAGCACCTTAGTGTCAGCTGGGGGAGACCAGTGACACTCTGAAGCCAGAGTGATAGGTCACAAACTTACTTGGTTCTTTGTTGTCGAACACCACAAAGTTCTGCATGGGACGCAAAAGGAAAATGGAGGCCCAGGAAACAGAAGCCAAACTACGCCCAAAGGAGACATGGCTGGCTTTCCGGCCAAGCCGTGCTCCCTTTCCGGCTCCCTCTCCAGTGTGACCACCTAAGGCCCCTGGCCCACCAGCAGGATGGAGTCTGGGCCCCAGGTGGGGCGCTGGAGGGCTGCTGGAGGGAGGGGCGGGCAGCTCATGGGGCCCTCATCGGGCAGTGGGCAAGGGAGCCTGGGGAAGTTGCCACAAGGGCATTAATTCCATTCATGGGGGCCCCACCCTTCTGGCCTCATCACCTCCCCATTCCAAATACCACCCACTGGGACCAGGCCCACGCGAGGGGTCTCGCTGTGGCACTTGGAGGCCCTGTGGCTTCTCCGGCAGTGAGGCTGGCTGGCGTCACCTGCACGTGGAAGCTGGCCCACACAGCTGCGCGATGGTGCTGTGACCTCTGCTAAGGCAACCTGAGCGTGGAGGGGGGCCGGGCCCCGCACCCCTGTGTGTCCAAGCCAGGGAATGGTGGGGCAGCACCCAAAGGAGAGAACCTCAGGCTTTTTAAAATAACTGCATCCTTTAATGGCAGTAATACAATTATTGGATTAAGAGACCACAGGGGAAGGGCAGGTGACATCTCTGGAAGACAGATATGAAGTACAAAAAGGGGTTGGGAGTCATGCGCGATCATTGTAAAAATACAGTACGTTATATACATATTTGCACCATCAACTTTCAGCTCTGAAATCGTTATTTACACTTGTTACAATCCTGGTCAGAGGACAATTTTGTCTTTAAAAGCTCGGTCTGATGGCAAATGAAGATTCTGGGTGAATTCATAGTGCCATGGGGTTCTTAGGCTGAATATTCCAAGAGGAGGGTGTCCAGCTTCTAGTTCATCCACAGATTTCAGTTTTTAAAAAGTATTTAATTTCTTTTACAAAAGAAAATTCGCAAATGAGGGGGGAAAAAAAACCACCCATCCACCGTGTGCGTGTTCTCACTTTACAAAAACACCCAGGCCACAGCCCATTCCCAGGCCAGTCCTGGGTGGCTGAAGAAAAATCTCACTAATGATTGCTTAAAAAAAACAAAAAAAAACAAAAAGAGACAAACCTCACCCCGCCAGGACACACTGCACTGCGGGCGGCCTCCCTGCCTCTCGCCCCAAGCCACCGGACAGCTGTCGGGGCAGAGGGCGCGCGGTAAGGAGCCTCGCTCACCGGCCACGCAGAGGCGGCGGGGGCGGAGGCCCGTGGCCTCATTATTAGCAAGAGATGGGGCTCCGCGCAAGGCATGCGGGTGGCGGGACCAGAAGGCAGGAGATGGCTGGTGGGGAACTGCCGGCGCTGCCCCAGGACCCTGACTCACCCACCCCAGCTCCCCCTGGGCCTGTCTCTCCAGACCAAGCCTGTGGGGTGCACCTGAGGCCAGGCTGGAGCGCAGCAGGGTTCGACAGAGCTGGAGGCCCCCAGGCTGTCGTCGGCTTCCTTCCTGGCTCAGCCAGACGAGGGGAGCAGGACACAAGCTCCTGGTTCCATACCTCCCACCAGCAGTGGGGGTCCCAGGGCCTCTCCCAGAGAGAACCCAGGAGCCCCCCACCATGTCCTGGCTATCGTGCCCCACCCTCTTTTCAGGTCCACTCTCTGGAAGGTGTCCATAAATCCCACAGCGTGACACACCACTGGGTTGTGCGCCCGACAGCTGGGAAGAAAGCTATACCCCCTCTCCAAGGAGGAAACAAAACATGGGCTCTAAACATAGGATTTGAGGAGGCCTGAGGCGCGCAGAACACACAGACACGCCCAGACCACACCAGGACTCCCTCCGGGGGTGCCTGGTGGCGCGGCCATACCGCGGATCCTTGAGCTGGCCCCACTGAGGCGGGGCTGGGCCTCTGGGGCTCTCTGGCTACTGTGGGCCAGGACAGGTCCTGGCCCTGGGGGGGGATGACCCCTGGCCGTGACAGGACAGCTAATACTGATGGAGGATGAAGGGCTGGGTGAGGGGGCTCCCTCCTGGCGGCAGCTCCAGGTGGACACACCCCACGCCACCCCCCCCTCCCCCCAGGTCCCTCTCCCAAGTCCTCCGAAGTGGCGAGCCTCAGGAGGACCAGGACAGAGGCTGGCAGGGAGGCCCCAGGAGAGCAGAGATGGCAGCCTGACAGGGCTCCACAGGACTGTACAAGGCTTCCTGCCGCCGGCTGGCACCACCCCTGCCCATGGCCACACCTGCTTCCAGGGCTGCCTGCCGTGGGGCAGTGCCTCTGGCAGGGCCATGCAGGTGTGCAGCGTCCAGGGCTCCTCTGCGCCCAGTTCTCTAGTCCTGGGGAAGTGGAAGTGGGCCTGGCTGGCAAACTTGCCCAGAAAGCCTGGCACCCAGCCACCAGGCTGGGCGCAGCCTCCAGGGAGTCCCAAGTGCAGGGCCCAGGCAGGCTGAAGCCCAGGGGACTTGCGCCTGGGAGCCTGGAGCACTAACCAGAACCAAGACAGTTATATACAATTTAGATGTTGCAAAGACAGTACTACTTTAAAAAAGAAAAGAGAAAGGAAAACTGAAAAGAAAAAGGAAAGAACGAACACCCAGGCTCCTCCCACCAAGTCCCCAAACTCTGGTTGCTGCTGCCCTTAAATATGGCCCTGGGAAAGGAAGGTGCAGGGAGCGCGTGACCCACCGAACACTACTGGCAGAAGGGGGAGGCAGTGGGGTCAAAGCCTTTAAAAACATCTTTCAGGGACCCCGCGTCCTGCTCGCCCTCCTGGGCCGGGCTGTTGCCAGCGAAGGGGCTTCCAGAACCCGTCTTGGGCGCCTGCTTCACAGTCCCGAAGAGGGTGGGCACGGGCAGGTTGTGCACGCCAGGTTGGGGCGGGGCGCCCTCTGCTGGCGGGGTGCCCGTGGCGGCGGCCGTGGCCGGGGCGGCTGTGGCCTTGGGTCGGGGCCGGTTGTAACTGTTGTATCTGTCTGTGGCTGTGCCCGCGCCCCCATCTGCGCTGGCCTTCCCGGGGTCAGGCTGCTCCAGGGCGGATTTGCGGACAAAGGGGGGCTCCTTGGCTTTGGGGCCTGCGCTCTTGCCGTTGCCCTCGGCGCCCTTGGGCTGGGGGCCTGCCTCGGCTGCCGGCTCTGCAGCCTTGCCGCCAGCGTTGGGAGTCCTGGGGTCGTACAAGCTGATGCCACTTAGCACGCTGCTCTGCCCACTGCCCCCGCCCTGGCCCAGCCCGCCGGCCGCCAGCACTCGGGGGTCATAGGGGGCGGTGGCTGGCGGGGAGGACTCCCCGCTGGGGCTGGCGGTTGGCGAGGGCGAGTCATTGGGTCCTGGCTTAGCAGCCCGAGAGGAGGCAGCAGAGTCTGCCGGTTTTTGTAGCCGAGGGTCGGTGGGGGCCTTCCGTACCCGGGGGTCGCTGGGCTTGTCACCGGGAGTCGCCGAGGAGCCGGTGGCATTGACAGTCTTGAGGATTCGAGAAAGGAGTTCAAAGTCAGGCAGGCTGGAGCCGGCAGGGCTGGGGTCTGCGGCGGTACCCGGGCGCTGCCGAGGGTTGGGGGGGCCCGAGGTGGTGGCACGGTGCAGCCTGGGGTCCAGGGCCGCCAGTGACTGCAGGGCCGCAGGGACGGGGGGCACCGTGTCCTGCTTGGGAACGGGCAGGGGGATCAGGTCCTCGGGGTTCCAGAGCACAGTGCGGGCAAAGGTGGGCTTGCTCAGGGTCACGTCCTTCTTGATGTGGCTGAACTGCTGCAGCTGCGACCGCGGGTCGCGCAGCGGGTGCCCGGGGAGGGGCTCCAGGGGGATACTGACGGCCTTCTCCCGAAGGGCCCTCTCCCCTTCCTCCTCTTCTGCAGGGGGTGGCCCAGACCCCTTCGAGCTGCTGGGGCCGGCGGGGCTGGAATGAAGGCCACCTTCAGGCTTGGCGGGGGGCAGAGAGCGAGCCAATCGTGGGTCAGAGGGCCCCACGTCTCCTGGGCCTGAGCCGCTGGACGCCTCGGCATGGCGGGTGAGTCTGGGGTCCCGGCTGAGGCGGGGGTCAGCCAACCGGCCTCCTGTGGGGTGTCCCTTCTGGAGGCGGGGGTCCCCCAGCCCACTGCTGCTCAGCTCTCCAACAGAAATCTGGGGTCGACTAGACGTCTGCTGCCTCAGGGTCTTCAGGATGGAGGTGACGCTGCTCCCACCCTCATCCTCGTCGCTTGAGTACCAGTTCCCGGTGTCACCTGAGAACACAGAGGAGCAGGGATGGGTGAGGGGCCGCCCCCACGGCTGCCAGCCCCCTGGCCCCGGGACAGTGACTAGGGCCCGCTGAGCCCAAGGCTCCTCTGCCTCTCGAGGCCTCAGTTTCTCCTCTCTTAAGGACCCCCCACCCCACCCCGGGCTGCCACAAAGAGCCAGTGAGCTCAGGGCGGCCGTGTGCAGGCCGCAGGTGCCGGCTCACTTCAGCCCCAGCCACCCGGCAGGCAGTGCGGCTGTCATGCCCTCGAGACAGGGGAGACAGCAGCAGCACGGGCAGCACGTGGCACCCAGGAGAGGGTGACGGAGCTCAGACTCCAGCCCAGCACTGCCTGGCCTCACCCGTGTGGCAGGCCCAGCCCGGGACAGCCTGCGGAGGCCTGGTACAGCGGCACTGCCTCAGCTCCCGCGCGCTGGCTCAGCCTCCTGCCCACGGCCCTCCCAGAGCGGCGGGAGACCCAGGAAGGAGCCCTGGCTGGCCAGGGGCAGGGCTGGGGGCACTCAGAAACTGGCCCATGTGCAACTTCCAGACGGCTAAACCCAGAGCTGCCCAGCGTGGGGCTGCCCTCGCCCCACGGCCCGGCTTGTTCTCAGACTCCAGCCAGGTCACCCGCGGCCCCCAGCTTCAGGTTCTAGACACCACTTTTCCGCCCCATTTCACTCTGGCACGGAAGCCACCGGGCTCAGCATGCGGGCTGCCGGCTGGCGGGGACCAAGCGTCCACTGCTCAACACCAGCTGCCAGTGCGCCCCGCTGTCCGAGAACAACGGCTGGGGAGGGCTGTGAGCGTCTCCCCGCAGCTGTCGCTGCAAGGGCAGAGGGGAGCCCTGCCCAGCCGCCGTCTCCTCCCAGGACCAGCCCCCACCCGCACCCCCACCCCTGAATGGGATCAGGGGCTCTACTGATCCCCAAGACACAGGGCAGCCCGACAGCCACCTTCCTCAGGCACGTGCGGCTGCCCCGTGGCTTCCAGACTGCGGGCAGGGGTCCTCCTGGCTACACGCACCTCTCCAACTAGCAGCCTGACCTGGGCGCCCCCACCGCTCCCCTGCACAGCAGCCGGCGGCCTGCGCCCACAGGGAGAGCCCGTGCCCCTGCCCCTGGGGAGGACACGTGCCTTCCTCATTCTCCCGGTCCTGCTTGCTGCTCTCAGCCAGCCTCCTCGCTCTCTCCTCCTCCTCCTGCTGCTTCTGCTGGATCCTCAGGTACAGGGCCCTCTGGGCCGAGGGCAGGAAGTCGGGGACACCGGCGCCCGGCTTCGGCCGGCCTGGGGGACCTCCCTCAGAGAAGCTGTCGGGCTCCAGAGGGTGCTCGGGGAAGAGGCGCTCCCCAGGCTCCCCCGGCAGCTCTTCGTAGTGCCCGTAGTCCTCTGCGGCAGGGAAGAACCGAGGGTCCGAGTTGGGACGGGCCGAAGGTGCCCCCTCCAACCCGCCTGCGCCCTGGGCTGGAACCCTCCCACCGGGTAAGAGCAGGGACCCTCCCCTCTGCCCGAGAGGCCCCACAAGGATGCAGCCGCTGAGAATGGGGTTCACAGCGAGGCTTAGTGACATGCGCAAATGCTCGTGGAATAAACACAGGATGGAACGGTGCACAGTGTTCATAAACACAAAGGAAAAGCTTTGAAAAGCCAGACAGCAAACAGTCCGTCTGGGATGACGTCGGGGAGACGGGCTGGGGTCCTTCACTTTTGCTCCACTCTAGTTCTCAGCCCCTGCAGTGAGCCCAAAATCAGGTTTCTCTGTGACCACGAACAGAAGACGGAGCTCGCGGTGAGCTTCCCTCATGGCCTGAGCTCACCCTCGGGGGAACGACTTTCCACAAGGAAGAGAACGAAACACAACGCTGCTATGGCTGCAAGTCCACCCAGAGGCTCCCAGGGGGCCCCTCCTCTTGGGCTTCCTGAACGTGCCCTTGCATTTCAAGTGCGCGAGGTGGTTTCTCCCATGCAGCACCTGGGAGGTGCAAAGGCCCCCTGCCTTCACTCCCAAGGACAGGCAGGCAAGGGGCACCAGCGACCTCCTTCCACAAACCCCCCACATCTAAGCCAAGAAAGGGCAGCAGCCCCGGCGGACGCACCTGGAGACCAGAGCGCACGGGGGAGAAGTGTGAGGCGTACAGTGTCTAGGAGGCACGTCCAGGGTCAGTGCTGCTCCCCGAAATGTACTGTGAGGATGAAATGTCCCCCTCCCCCAGGGCTACAGAGCTAGTGGGGAGGTGCGGCTCACAGGGACAGCAACCGCTGTGGTAAATGTTCCACACGAGTGCCGAGGCAGGCAGTGCGCAAGGGCCCTTCTACCCCAAGCTCCACCCCCGAGGATGCACGGTGGCAAAGGCTGGGCGCAGAACCTGGGGGCGCTGGGCCCGTACCAGAAACCCTGGTCAGCAAACTTCGAAAGGGTGGACTTCACGACACAGGGGTTGGACCCTGAGCTGTTTTTCACAAGAGACTTCAGAGACACCTGCGGTAAACAGCCTGGCCCACTTTGGTTCCGTCCCCCATCCAGACCTTTTCCCAAGCATGTTCTTGGCATGCTTTTTTTCTTTTAAGCGGGGAGGGGAGAGCAGGAAGGTCAGCACCCCCTTGTCGGCAGCCTGCTGTTACCATTTGAGAACATGCCACAGGTCCTCCTGACCTCTGGTCCTCTCCCCAAACACCTATTCACACAGCTTCAAACACCACCTAAGATGCCCAAGACTCACATGCACTTCTGGCCTGGATGTCTGACCGCCCCCAAAGGACCCCAAGAGGCTGTCCAGTGGGTAATTGGTACCCACAGCAGAGGAGGAGAGTGCCAGAGAAGTGGCAATGTACCCCCATGCCGCCACAGCTGTCTCAGTAGCACTTCTGGTGCCAGGGAGCCTGGAATCGCCCACCTCCAGCGACATCTGCCATCCCAGGGAGAGGCCTGCCAGCCCCGGCAGGCACCGCCTGTCCTCCCAACCAGCCCTCCTGCTTTCCTGCAGCCCCCTGACCTCTGCCAAGCACAGAAGTTGTCCTTCTAGCCCCTGCCATCCTTGGCCGTAGAATTCCTCTACAACCCTGTCATCCTTCTGCCGAGGTCACCTCTCTACCGGCACCAGAGAACGTGTGCTGGACGCCTGTCCCGTGCCCCTCTCAAGGCCACCGTGCCTTCCTTCCCTCTCCAAGGCCTGGCAGCCTCAGCCTAGATCGTACGCCTGGGGCGGCCTCCTGCTCACATGCAATCATATGCCTGGAGGGCGCCAGGGCCCACCACTCTCCACCGACTGCCTCACTCCCAGCAGCCATCAGCGTGAAACGCGCGGGTCCCATTTCGGTACAGCTAAGCAAGCTCTGTCCCGGAACTGTGTCACTGTGGGCAACAGCAGGCACACCTCAGCCTTAACAAGAAGGGAAGGCAAGACTCACGAGGACAGAACAAGGCAGAGTAGTGAGGTTGACACCAGCAGCTCTGAGCCAGGAGCGCCAGGAGGCCCCACCCTTGGGGGCGGCCCCCACAGACTCTGCTTCTGACCTCAGGCGACCGACAAAGCCTCTAAGAGCTGGACGTTCCTGGTGATGGCAATCTGCTCTCCTGGACTGAACCCCATGCCACTGAAAATGTTCACCCGCTCACAGGACAGAGATGCAGACGGATTCATGCTTCCAAAACTCGGCGCAAGGAGGATGCCACCGTCCCAGGACCCGTGCGAGCCCAGCCCGCCCTGCGCACCTGTGTCCCCGAGGAGGCCGGGCTCCACCTCCATGCCCTCCTGTTGCTGGTAGAAGTTCTCATAGAAGTTCTGGGCTGGCGGGATGGGGGGCATCATTCCAGAATGCGGGGAGTCTCCAGGGCCATAGGGCATCATTGGGGGGCCACCGGGTCCCATGGGTGGGCCAGGGTTCATGCCAGGGCCCATCGGCATGTCAGGGTGCATGTCGGGGTGCATGTCGGGATGCATGTCGGGGTGCATGTCGGGATGCATGTCAGGATGCATTGGGCCACCCATCGGTCCTGGGGGTCCCATGTTGGGCCCAGGGCCCATAGGCCCCGGGGGTCCACCGGGTCCGGGGAACCTAGGAGGAGGAAACGGGGCTTGTGAGAGGGGCCACAGGCAAGGGTGGCGGCCACACTGCTGAGGAGGCGTGGGGTCCTCCAAGGAGGATACCTCAGCTGTGCAGAGAGGCAGGACGCTGGCCCCGTCACGGAGCCTGGCTGGCCCCAGAATGTCGGCCTGACCGGCACTCACCTCACACCCAGCTTCTCAGCCAGCTGCCCGGTGGGCCGGACCACGATCTCAAACAAGGAGGGGATCTTCTTGTTGTACATGTCCTGCTGCTGCTGCAGCTGCTGTGGAGACAGCGGCTCGTGCACTGGCATGGGCATCTGAGGGGGCCCGGGAGGTGGTGGCGGCGGCGGCGGGGGTGGTGGGGGGCCACCCTGCATAGGCCGGCCATTGGGAGAGGTTGGGGCCTGGGGGCCAGGGGGCCGAGGAGGGGTAGGCAGGAGGCCCACGCCAGGGGGTGGCTTGGGCAGGGGGTTGATGCCCTGCTTCTTCAGCTCCTCCACTTCCTTCTCATCCTCGGCACCCGCTTCCGCATCATCAGCCAACATCTGTGGGTGAGAAAGGAGGGAGTGAGAGGGGTGAGCCTCCCACGCCAGGGCTGCAGCAGGGCTGGACGGGATGACAGGTGGGTTTTGAGATCTCTGAAACGCAAGGACGCAGGGCCCTACTGCCGTAAGACCTATGACCACCATGCCCTTGGGCACCAAATCGCTGTCCCGGCAGCATCTACTCTGCATGGCAGGCAGGGGAGGCATTCCTTTTGGTGGCAAAATAATTTACAGAAAACGTACTAAGCATTTCACCCTTCAAGGGCCATCAGTGTACTCAGGATGTTGTACTATCACCATGTCTAACTAGTTCTAGCACTTCCCAGTCACCTCAAAAGAAGACCCAATAAGCAACTAGTCCCAGCTGCCCTCAATCCCATGACGACCACCCTACTTTCTGTCTTGACGGGCCTGCCTTCTGACGTTTCTCAGAAGTGGAAGCTGCACCACATGGCCCTCTTTCACCTTTGCTGGTTAAACAAATGAACAAGAGGACAGAAAGGGCACCCCGCCCCAGCACCCCCTGGACTCTGGATTAAGGCTGCGTGACATCAGCTAGGAGCGCAGGGGTAGAGGCGCTAAGGCTCTGACTTCTCTGCCCAGTGGCTGGCCTGTCCCCCTCACCTCCACTCTGCCCCAGGCCCAGTCTCCTCTGTCTAGTCTCCTTAACATACCCCTGCATTCAGGTAGCGCAAACTTCCTTTCCGTGGCCACTCGTGCCCTCAGCTGCAAAGGCAACACTCCGCGATGCTATACCTCATGAAACAGAACAAACCTGACCACAACTTCCTCCCATGCCATGGAGAAAGCACGAACGTGCAGCCCACGAACAGGGTCCGTTGCCGGCCCCCTTCCCAGGTGCTGGCTGTATCTCCAAGGGCTGGGTTTGCCCGCTGTGAGCGACTGCACTTCTCTCACCTCCAGTGCCCAAGGACATGCACCGGCACAATGGGCACAGACTCCCAAACCGTCACACTCCCGGGGGGGCCTCCCCCTCCTGCTCTGGGCTGCTCAGGTGGGCCTGCCATGGGGGCCCCCATCACTTGATGGCTTCACAGCCTGCTGGCTGGCTGGAGAACACCTCCTCCACCTTAGCTGCCGGCAAGCCTCCTTGCCCCTCTAGGGGACCTTGCGACATCCTCAAGAAGACGAGCAATCCTGGGTAGGATGGCTGGGACCCATAACCTCTCTTACCCTGACTGCTTCTGATGATATCAGAGGCTTCCAAAAGTCAAAGCCACCCTCTCCACAGCAAGGGGCTGATGCAAGTGCAGTCTCGCCAAGGATGTGGCCAGAGTAGCAAGCTCCTGGGCAAGGGAAAGAGCCCTGGCCAGAAACAACCGCAACATTCTCCAACTGCAGGCCAGGTGCCACACAATGGAGGCGCTTGTCGGCCGCAGACAGCCCGCCACAATCTGCTGTCTTAGGTGCTTTGCACCCAGCAAAAACAGCCAGATCTGGGAGGTGGTATAGACACCCCCCAACAACACCAGGGGTCTTCAAGGCCTGGCAACTGGGAGGTGCTCACCAGAAAGGGTACAAAGTAGTTTCTGAGATGATGGGATGAATTTCCTCCACCTACATTGTGAGGTAGCCACTGGACACTGTACGTCTGTCAAAACCCACAGAACTGATAGTAAGAGCACACACATCATTTAGGGATCACACCACAACTATAAGACACGTGCCTATAAAACAACTGTAAAAAGACTTATGTTTTTCAGTGGTTAAAAATTTCTTATTGGAGAAAATGTCAACTTATTCACTAAGTAAAGAACAAACACAAAAAAGCAATTAAACGTACCAAAGGACTTTAAAGGCAAAGAAGCAGAAAGTACGCAGCGAGCGAGCGGCAAAGCAAACGGGTGCCGAGGCAGTGCCGAGGGTCGGGGCAGCTGGCGGAGGAGGGCGCCGCCCTTGCCGGCGCTCACTGCCTACCCCAGAGGAAAGCACGTTTTCAGACCTAAACCAGATGGCAAAAACGGATGTGTGTCTGGACAGACAGAAATGTCACCAAGCAGCGGGAACGCAAGTCTGAAGACAGAGGAGGCTGGACAAAGACCACCGACCTCTCAGGGAAGGGCGGCTGAAGGCCGGTCCTAAGTGGCACCGTGGCTTGGACCAAGGAGCCAGGTTGCCCAAGCGGTCACTACCCCCGGACACGAAGGGAAGGGGCAGCCCATGCCTCCAAGGGTGAGCCAGGCCTCTGCCCGTAAACTCTTATTTTTTTGACCACCCCAATTTGATTCTAGAAAGGTTCTTTCAGGCTCAAAGCTCATTTTTAACCTGGTGAGACATGGCTTTAGATAGGGGACAATCCTGATGATTTCAAAATGTCTATGGCTGGAGCCTGGACTGTGCCATCGTGGTTTGCACTGGGCTTTTGATACAGTAGCTAGAGCTGAGCTGGGCAACGTGTGGCCACTGTCCACAGATGAAACTGTCCTTAGTACCCACCCAAACAGGCCTTAAATTTTTTCAGCACATATCATCTATTGAAATGATACTTTGCATTATGGACTTTAAAAAGATATAGTAATAAAATTCACGTCATCTGCTTCTTTTCCCTTGTTCTTAGCTTGGCTACCAGAGGTAAATGGACTCTGGGTCCGTCAGCCCACTGGATGCCCTGTCTAGTGCGCCTGGCCAGCCACCAGCAGGGGGCGCTCCTCTGTCAGAGACGCGCCAGTTGTCCAGATGCCAAGCGGAACCATTACTCTCCCAACTGCCTGCAACAGGTCTTAACTCGCACAGGCAGTATGGCTACAGGTTATAACACCCAGGGTAACGGGTCCCTAAAGGGCCTGGCAAGATGAGAACTCTGTCCAGGAGTCCTCTCCAAGGGGAGCGGATGGTCTCCTTGTTCCTGGAGCAAGCTCCTTCTCCAGCCCACGCTGGTCACTGGCTGACACACTGACTGCCACCAGCCCAGCGGCCAGTCCCCGTGCCTAGCTCTGGGAACTAGCGGCAGGAAAGCCTTTATTCAAGAGGGCACGTGTTCTTTCACCCTTTCTCTGGGATGCATGAACAAGAACCTGGGGTCCCTGAAACCCTAAGCCTGACCCCTGTCCTCAAGAAGATTAACAGCTACAATGACATTTCCAAGGTGACCTGGTGAGTCTTCCCCACCCGACCCCACCCCGCCTCCAACCCCCTCCACCAAACTCTCCCTCCTACTGTGTTGCACAATGGAACCATCAACCTTGGAAGGGGTGCTGGACATTTCCACCCAAACAGAATCCACCCCAACCTCAGCTCTTGTGTACCTGGGATCTGCTAAGGGACAGCTTAAAAAAACCACTAGAAACGCATGCAGACCCCCCCCCCAGGCAACACCCCCTCTTGTAACCGCCTGCTGGGAGAGCAGCAGCAGACTATCAGCCAGAGAGGACGCAGGCGCGCAAACACCCTACTCCCAATCACACCGCCAGGCCAAGCTGCCCCACTCGATGGACAGCACCTTCCTGCTCCCCACAGCTGTGGCCCTGCACCCCCCTCACCTTATCCAAGAGCTCCCGAGTCTCTTCAGTCAGCGGGTCGTGGGAGAACATGCAGTCGTCCCCATTGATGCAGCTCCCCGTAGTGTGGTACAGCTTGCACGGGAAGTCGCGTTCATCGCAAATTAAGGCAAAGGCTTCACCTGAGCAGGGTCCCCTCCACCCCCACCCCACACCCTGCCCCGGGCAGAATCCACCCGTGTCTGGAGGTGAAGAAACCAGAGCCCAGAGCAGGAACCAACTTAGGCCTCAGCCCCAGAGCAAGCAGACGGGCCTCAGCCCCTGGACGAGGCCCGCGCTGTCCAGAATTCTGCTCCGTGCTTCTCCCGCCTCGCTGGCCCAGGGCTGTTAGGTCCCCAGGGTGAGGGAAGTTCAGCACCACAGTTACACAGCCAGAGAGGCGACAGGCAAGGGTAGAGGCCTGAGCAGCGCGCAGAGCACCCCAGCTGACTCATCTGCAGAAGGGGAGCAGACTCGCATCGCAGGTCAGCCGCGAGGGTAAAGGAGGCAGCTGCAGAGCCACGCAGCGAAGGGCAGCTGTGAGCACGGGAGGGAAAGTCCTGTCCCCTCCGACAGCTCAGCTGTGGGTGGCCAAAAGGATATCATGCATATAGGGGCAGTTCTCGGCTCTGGCACAGAACCCGGTGATGTAAAACTTGCACAGTTCACGCTTCTTTGGTAGCTCGATGTCGTGGCTGAAGTTGCAGTGGTCTCCCTGCAAGGGAAGCCGGGAAAAGCTCAGCAGGAGTCAGGCACTTACCCTTCTGCAGAGGGAGGCCACTCCTGTCACCCTGAATCAGGGAGGGGCTGGCCAGGACAGGATCAGCGCGGGTCCCCATAAAGCACACCGCCAGACTCCCCGCCCTCACCACAAGCCTCCGACCGCTTCTTCCCCACACCTCCTCTTCCCTTCTCCCTTTCTCTGATCTACCTGCTGTTCCACACTCTTTTAACAGTCACTCTTCAGGCCTACACTTTATCGCTAACAGAACCCCAATTTTGTCTGGAAAGACACGCCTACTGAAACTACTCTTCTTCCTGGCCTCCCTTGCAGTTCTGACCAAAGAAGAGTAGGTCAAAATTCCCAGGAAGCACGGCATGTTGAACTTAAGAATCCCTTCACCAATGTCTTCCTACTGCCCTTAAACTGACGCCAGAAGGCACAGCATTCACTGTGCAACTAGGGGGACAAAAGCCACATGCTTAGAGAGTGGACTAAAAGGCAGGACGAGCTTCAGGGCCCTAAGCCCCAGCACCAGCCTTCATGGCCGACCCAGCCCAGACGTCTTGTTCTGACAGACGCGTGTTGCTATATTTAAGCAGCAGGGTGCAGCTGAGTTTCCCATTACCTGCAGCTGAACACGGCATGAACAAGGTTCAGGTAAATGCAGGCGGGAAGTGTTCTAGAACCATTCTCCTACACCCAGGAAAGGCAACTCAGTTTTCTTTCATTTTGCTTCATTTTGCTTCATGTACTTCACATTCCCAAATATAAACTGCGACTATATTAAGGACCACAATGCTTATATACACATTACATCTTTTTCTAAGATGGACACACAAGTGTAGCTATTCCTGGAGATGTCCACTACTTTCCTCTTAAAAAAAAAAAAAGCTGACTGGAGGCCAGGCCCTCCTGGTGGAGCAATGTGTTAAAGTAGAGCACAGTGAAGCCATCTGCAGCCACTGCAGCATGAGTTCAATCCCCGGCCAGGGAGTGACTCACATGCGCAGCAGACCTCTCCTGTCTCCCGCTGCTCACCTCAGCAGTGTATTTCTGCTAATCTACCTGTTCTGTTCCCCACTTTGGCTCTGTGGTAAATCCTCTCAACCCCCCACACTTCTGGCCTATACCCCAGTTCTTGTATTCATAAACACATCTTAAAAAAAAAAAAAACAAAAAAAACCAACTAGGGCCCTCCCTGGTGGCAAAGCGGGTAAAGCACAGCACTAAGAAGCTAAAGCCATTGCAGCCTGAGTTTGATCCCATGACCTCTCTCGCTGCTCCCTCAGCAGTGTACTTTGTCAGTTGGCCTTTTCTGCTCCCCACTCTGTCTCTGGTGAATCCTCTCACCGCCCCTGCACCTCTAGCCTGTACCCCAGTTCTGTATGCACAAATAAGTAAATCTTAAAAAAAAAAAAAAAAAAAAAAAAAAAGCTGAATGGTTGACTGAGACTAGATTACACTGAGCTCCTACAGCACTGTTCAAATGGTCCATCTTCTGGTAATGAATTCTACCGTGAAGGTCAAGGCTAAGCCGATCTTCCCACCCCACCTATTCTCTCAGGATGCCTTAAGAGCTCTCTCTCTAACACGAAGTTTGCAATAAGGTAAATGGTACGTAGCACATCTCTGCACTAACATCCATCCTACCAGTATGTGTGAGGACATAGGGATAGGATGAAAAATTTGGCCAAAAAATTCTACTAAAACAAAACAAGAAAACCCCATGTTGCTTTGGGTCTTCAATCATCTGGGAGGAGAACCAAGTCTTCTAGGTCCCAGGCATCTCTCCATAGCAGGGAATCCTAGGTACACGGTCTTCAACACCCACAGCGCCAAGGGCCCACAGCGGGCACCCCACCAGACTCTCCTCTGCCCCCTTACCCATGTGCACCGTCCTTCCACGAAGTACTTGCAGATGACTTTGCCCTTCTTGTCGGACTGCTGGTGGGGCTTATCATGGTCACCCCTCCGGTAGCTTCCGCCGTCCTGTAAGGAAGAGAGCGCTCGTGAGGACGGGAGGGAAGGGCCTGTGCAGGCCGGGTGGAGACAGGCCGAGATGAGGGCAAGGAAGCCGGCCAGTGGAGAAGCGCACGCCCTTCACGGAGGGGTGGGAGTTAGCAAGAGCACTGACCAGAGGCCGCTCCAACAGTAAGGCTCTGTGGGGTCTGGGTACCCGCCTTCCCCAAAACTCCAAAGCTAACAGAAAGGGTCACCTAGAACCTCCTGAACCTCAGAGACTCATTACAGGTGACTGCAGGTGCATCAGCAGAGGGTCTCACCAGAGGCACGTCCCCTGTGAGAGACGATTAGTGCTGATTGGCCTTCTGGGGATCAACTGAAGGGAGCAGGGGGCCAGGATGGGCCTCAGAGGACATCTCATTAAAGGAGAAGAGGTCGAGAAGGGGCCCTGACTGAAAACACCGGATGGGAACGAAGCGCCTGCTCACCCCCATGTCGTCGTCGTAGAAGTCCTCGTCGTCGTTCATGCCGCCTTTGTTCATTCCGCCCCGGCCACCTCGGCCCCGGCCCCGGCCCATGCCTTTCCCCCGACCTCGGGAGCCCCGGCCTCGGCCCCGACTGAGCCCTACGGAGAGCACAGTGTTAATGGCTGCCTCCCCAAGGAGCCTCCTCACACAGCAGCTTCCAGGAGGCCCCCATGCTCCCCCCAGGGTGCCCACCTCGTCCTCGGCCATCTTTGGAGCGGCGGTACTGGTTCAGCTCCTTGGAATATTCGTCGTAATCCTCGTCTCCCAGGGGCTCCTCACTTTCTCCGTACTGGCATATCAGGGAGAGGAGAGCAGGAGGTGTCAGGCAAGGACCCACGCCCTCGCACACTCAAGCGCCAGACCCAGGTGGGCCGGCGAGCCACAGCACACCGTGTCTGCACCCCTCTTTCACACACCCCAGCCTGAGCAGTGAATGGTCCAAGTTCTCCTTTGCACAGGTTTGAGAATGCCCAACCGCCAAGCCAACCTGCCAGGGTGCCCGGACACCCCTGCACAGCAGACAGCGGCCCCCAACAGGGATGCATGTAGGCAGGAAAGGCCTCCCGGAGGGACAGAGGGGGAGGGTGGTGGGGCAGGGTGTGTGGGTGAACCCAGCGGCAATGGCAGGACGCAGGCCCTGGCTCCAGGGGTGGGGACATAGTGAGTGGGAGCTCACCCGCTGGGACCTCTTCACTCCTGACCCACAGGAAGGTTCCCCCTATCCCAGGGCAGTAAAATGACGCTCTAAGCCTGCCGCTAGAGGCTTTCTTCCCACCAGCACTTGCGGTTCCACACCAGTTACCCCTGGGTCTGGAGAAAGCTTACTTCCATCTCCTCCTCATAGAAGTCATCGTCGTCCTCCGGGTGGTCTCCTCCCACGGAGCCTCTGCCACGGCCTCGACCTCCCCTGCCCATGCCTCGGCCTCGAGACCCTCCTCGGCTCCCTCGGCCCCGGTAGCCCCGGCCCCGGCCCCGGCTGCCTGCAGGGAGATTCGGTTAGTGAGCCAGAGCCCCAAACAAGAGTAAACCCCACCCAAGAGAGTGCCGTCAACCCACCCTCTGACCCCAGAGTCAATCATTTCGCCCCCCCTCCAAAAGCCTTCCCTGCTGCTCTGGGCAGCCTTTTCAGCAGCCGCTGGCCTCTCCACGAGGGCCGCAGCATTCAGGAGCCTGCCACCACCGCACCCCAGCCACCAGCCACACGTAGCTCCTGAGCGTCCACAGAGTGGCTGAGCAAAAGTAGGAGATGCAGTAAGTGAAGGGGGCACACTGGATTTCGGACCAAGTGAAAGAGTACTGAAGACCACGCCTGTCTAGTTCGATTGTGTGCAGAAATAGACTGTGAATGTATTAGGCCGATAGCACACACTGCTGGTGTTAATTTTATCTGCTCCCTTTACTCATTTAACTTGAAGACCAGACGCTCCCCTGAGAGCAGGGCCTGTCCAGGAGTGTCAGCTGAGGGAAGAATGCCCGGCCAAAGCCGCCTTCCAGATTCTGGGAAATCTCGTAGAAGAGGGTAGTTACAATGGCTGGGCCCTTGCCCTCCCAATGCCACACGTTCAAAGGTCAGAGGTGTGGCAATCCATGGGTGGCAGACACACCTGGTCAGGTGAGGCAACTGGGAGCCTGGAGAGGGGGAGGCGGCCACTGAGAGCTGAGGCCTGTGCGGCGGCCCTAGCCCAGAGGGGAGCGCGGGCTCCTCCCGCCCCGACCGGCACACACTGGCCATTGCGCTGCCTGAGCCCGGGTCGGAGACACGCCGGGGGTGGGGTGGGGCTGGGCGCGGTGGCCTCACCTCGGCCCCGGCTGCTGCCCTCCTTGGCACGTCTGTACTGGTTCAGCTCCTTGGTGAAGTCGTCGTAGTCATCCTTGCCCAGGTCATCGTCCTCGTCGCCCTCGTACTCCCCGTACTGCTCGTTCTCGTAGTCTTCGTACATGCCGTAGCCCTTGCTGTCCAGCTTGGAGTAGGCCTTCTTGGGCAGGGATGTGGTGTGTGACGGGGGGTACTGCTGGTGGGACTGAGGGGACAGGAGGGAGTCAGCCCTGGCCGTGGGCCTGGACCACAGGCACCCCCACTGCGCCCGCTGCACGCCTGCCTGCGGCCCTGGGCACGCCGCCAGCCTCTGGGTACCCCGCGGCGGGCCCCACCTAAAGCTGGGGGCCCTAACCTCAGGGCACGGCCTGGGCTCAACCCGGCTCCACGCTTGGGGCTGGGCACCCCAGGTCTCAGTCCCCGCCTGGGCGCTGGCCACGTGGGGCGGCGGGCGCTCGGCAGGCGCTGGCGCCGCCACTCACCGGAGCGTACGGGGGGCTGTACTCGCGGTACTTGCGGTGCCCCTTCTCGCTGGGGCTGAAGTCCGACTCGTCTGAGAAGTCCGAGAAGTCATCGCTGGAGGAAGCGTGGCGCTGCGGGGACAGGGCAGGGACTGAGTGACCCCGTCACAGGCAGGCCCATCTGGTGGAGTCAACCCTGGAGAAGCCATGCTGGAGAGTGCCAGAAGGGTTCTGTGCTCGGCTCAGAGACACCTCACCTAGGGGCATTTGGTGGCCATGGAGCATGAGCTACCAATTCTTTAAAGGGGCCTTTACCCAACTGGGGAAGAAGCAACACTATTATCAGTGCTCTCTGGCCTGCCAGACCAGCCCAGTGCCAGGCAGCGGCAGCCCCCAAGAGCCCCAACCCTGCAGGCCTACTTTGTGCTTGGATTTCCTCCTCTTCTTCGACCGCCTCTTCTCCTTCTCCCGCTCTTTCTTCCGCTTCCGCTTCAGTCTCCGGTGAGACTTCTCCTCATCAGAATCACTGTGGTGCTTCTCCCCCTTTTCCTTCCGACTCCTCTCCGGCCCTCCTGAGGTATCCTGGGTTTCCTCGGCCCCATCATCTTCCAGTTCACCTTCTTCCAACTCGCCATCTTCCCTACAAATGAACCCCAAAACCAACATGAACGTGGGGCTTGAGGAGACCCCTGGAGGGCGAGGGGCTGGCCGAGGCTGCTGGGAACGAGAGTGGTCAACCCCCACGAGAGGTCCAGGGAAGGCGTGGGGGCCACAGTCTCTAGTTCCACCTCTCACGCTCCCCCAAAAGGTCTGGTCTTTATAAAGGTACTGCCACCAACCCCTGGACCACGCCAAAGTCAGGTTCCCCAAAAGGCCCCCCAGACTGGAGCGCTTAGAAGAAAGGGCTGAAGTTCTGGGGTCAGGGGAGTCAAGGGACTCGCCATCTTGTGCCGGTAATGAAGTGGGACTCAGGTAGCACTGTCTGCGTGTTTCTGACGGGCACTGGCCCACAGAAGCCGCTTCTCCCAGGAAACACGGACAGCCTTGCTCCCACAGCAGCAGGGTGCTGCCGGGGCCCGGACTGCTGGCAGCAGGCGGGAGGAAGATGAGGCTAGTGGAGAGGGCCGTGGTGCTCACTGAGAACAGCCCGCAGATGCCCGGGCCCTAACCCTGGAGAGGCCGCGAGCACCAGGCAATGTTACAAAGGCCCAAGGGAACCATGGTGAGCGGGCCCTGCCCCTGGGGTTCCAAGGTCTGGCACCGCCTGGCAGCTCCAGGGTGCTGGGGCGCAGGCAGGAGACTGAGTGGCTGGAGGAGGCAGGGGCAGCTGGCACAGGATGGCCCTGGCCCTGGCCGCTGCTGTGTTCGTTTCCCACCTGACTCACACTGCCTCCCGGACCCCTTCTGGCTCCCCACTCTACAGACTCCCTGGCTGTCTACTCTGTCACCCCAAATGCTGAACTCCAAAAACCAGGACAGCTGCTGCCAACAGGACTGTCTGTTATCAGCACACTTTGGGGGCAGGGAGAGGACAGATAGGGTCAGGAAGGGAGAAGCTGAGAAAAGAATCCTGTTTTTGAGCCAAACCCACAGTTTTCACAAGTACAGGAGCTGGTTTAGAAAAAAAAGAAAATTTAAACATGTTTCAAATGTTCCCTTAAGTTCTTCTTGGAAATGTACACGAGAGCTTTAAAAATATTCCTTCCTTCTAAATTAACTAGACACGAAGAAACCAGGACCCCAAAACCTAACCTCCAAAGGCAACGCATGGAGGCAAAAAAGGGTCTAGGTGGAGTCAGTGCGGAAGCAGCTCATTGGCCAGGGCCCAGAGGTTCCCCAGAGGGTCGGAAGGGCTTCCTGGTGAAAACATCCCGCTCAGCCCCTTCCCTCAGGCCCCTTGGCTCCCTTTTGTTCTCCCCCTCACTCCACACGCACTCCCCTCCCCTGCCAGGCTCCGTGTCAAGGAGACCCCCAGAAAGGGCTTTCCCTTAACTCTCATTCCCAATTCAAAGGGGCCAGGGCCCAGGGCCAGCCCCACGGAGGCCAAGGGCAGCTCTCACACAGAATGCAGGACACCACACGCTTCTGATGTTTCAAAGGCAACAATACAGAGCTGGGAGCCCGCGGGCTTTCCACCTCATGTGAAGAGCCAGGTCGCCCTGGGCCAAGCCATGTGAAGACGCCAGGTCAACTGGACAGCATTCCTGACAAGTGAGGCACTCGTGGGGCGCGGCCACAGGAGGCACAGAGCTCTGCCAGAGGGGCAGAGGGGAAGGCCTCACCCACAGCAGAGGCAGTGCCCGACTGGGGAAACCGGTTGTGACAAATTCCCAGAGGGGGGAGAAGCTGTCACTCAGCGGCCTGGAGATGGTCCCGGAGCTACCAGGGGCCCTAGAGGGGACAGTGTGGGCGGGCCAGGGGGTAGCAGCTCAGGAGAAGCAGAGACAGGCCAGACAGACATGGTGGAGCGGGGCAAGGCCCAAAGATAGATGGCAGAGTAAAGGCTGATATTTACTGAAGAAAAGCAGAAACAGAGCATTACTTGCCACACTCTGGAAGGAAGATGCTCGGGGGACCAAAGTCAAGGGCGGGGTGGGTGCACACACCCTGACACCCATGGGGACTGCAAACAGCCAAAGACCTCCCTGGAGCCAGGAGGAACCTGTCCCAGATGAAGGGGCAGGGGAACAGTCTCATGTTTCAGACACATGGGACTTACAGGGAGAGTAGGCAAAGGCACTTGTGGGGGGTCACAGCCGGTGGGTAACACACAGAGAAAGCCAGAAATACACGGTTTCCTCCTTCTGAGTCCCTGTTCTTCCCGCACCCATGAAGTCAGAAGTGGAAGGGGAGGACGCCTCCAACACCCCTGAGGCCACAGTGCTCTGAGCACCATGCCCAGCACCGTACCTACTCGAGGCAAGAACCTCGATTTCGGCGCTGCTCCTGCAGGAGACTACCACAACAGAGCCTGTGCCCCGAGACAGCCTCGGTAACAGGGGGCTGGGGCAGTGAGCCAGAGCTGGCTGGCACCCCAGATACGCCCTCAGCTCTGCTGCTCGAGGGCGAGGACATGTGGCCCCCGTCCCTGTCCCACTGACGCCCTGGACGAAGGCATAGGCTGCTTCACATTTTGCCCCTGAGGCAAGGGTACGAAAGGCCAGCCAAGACACTCCAGGGCCTGAGCCATCACCAGGAATGATTCTAGGACTTTCCAAGACAGAAACACGGCATACAAATCCAGCCCACAAAGACTCTGAGCCAAAGAGAATCCGGATTCTCTGCTATCTGTACGCCGACAGCACTGGGCGCGTGTGACTCGGTGAGACTTTACCTACACTTTTTACCAACTGGGCGCTGGGCACTTGAAAATCTTTCCCTCAAGATGGCAGAAGCTGAGAAAGGCTAAAAAAGTTGCTGATCGCTTAAGAAGAAGCAGGGAACAGCAGAGGGGACACTGGAAGGTGACACTGGGCATTCTCAGTGGCGCCTGGCCATGCTGTGCCCCACACGCCCCAGAGCCTGGGCAAGCCTCTTGTCACCTGACAGCAGGCCCTGATTACTCACTGCAGCTTCGCAGCCAAATGTCCTGCCTGAGAATGAGGTCTGTTCTTTTCAGATTCACTTCAATAGAAAGAGACCAACATACACCCGCTGGGACAGAGGGCAGAAGTCCTGCGGCCATGTGGCGGCACAGGGTGGTTGCACAGGGCAGCAAGCAGGCTTACGAGGTGCTGCTGCAGAATACCTGCAAAACCCACATGAGAGTGGGGTTAAAGCGGAGGGAGGAGGCCTAACACACTGTGACATAATCCTCCAAGAAAAGTGGGGGAAGTCCCACTGGGCTAATCATTTCTACCTAGACCTGCCAAAGCCTCTTGAGACAAGCCTTCTAGAGAAACCCTGCAGTGCTGGCCCAGCCAAAACACTTGTCCCCAGAGCCGGACTGGCATGGCTGGCAGATGGCCTGCAGAGCAGGTGACCGAGCGCCAAGAGAGATCGCCCAGAACTGGTGACGGGACGGAAAGGGGAAGAGGCCACGCCGTGTCTAGGTAAGGCCCGGGGTCACATCTGCCTTGTGCCACGTGAACCAGGCTGCCAGCACACTGAAGCGGCCCCCTGAAGAGATGGTGGCCCTTCCCCTCAGGTCAAAGACTACATCTGAACGTCCATCCCTAAGAATGCCCACTGGCCCTCTCCAGGGGTGCAGAAGAACATGGCGTAGTCAAAACCAAGGACTTGGCAAACACCATGCCTGGCAAAGAAACCTCACATTCCCAGCGGGCCGGCTCCATCCACCAGCCTAGGACAAGGAACTCAACCCTCCTGGTCTCTTCCCTAGCCTGTGCTCCAGGCAACCCAACCCCAGTGCTCCTCATCTGTACCCTGGAGTAACTGAGTTCCCACCTCAAAGAGCTGTGGGGGTTAGACAAGCTAGGCGCAAAGCCCCTGACATGGGGGCTGGGTGGGAGGCACACAGTTCAGGACCAAATAGCACCTACTGGCTTTAAAAACCGGTGAGCAGGAGTGGGTATATGCTGCGGACAGCCCTGCACCGCTGGAAGCCTGCCGGGCAGTGTTTTGTCCACAGACGGTTACAGCCGGCTCCCACAGGGACCAGCTATCTACATGGCTCCCAGCCTGACCTGGCCGCACAGTGCCCTGCCAGCAGGTCCCAAGGACTGAACTGCCAAGTTGCCATCGCCCCTTCTTCAGCAGCCACCTAGGTGTTACAAGAACCAAATGGCTGACTGGGAGGAAAAGCCACAGGGAGAACTGGATCCTGGAAGATGGGACAAAGGCCCGTTACCAAGATGAAGTCTGGGGTATGGAAGCTTTCTAGACAAGAGGGTGGGATGAGAGCTGAAAGGGGACTGGGTTTGGGGCTCCATCTAGTTTAAAAAGAGAAGCAAAAACAAAACAAAAACCCCGAAAGATGGAAACTCATGGGAGTTGTGACTGTTACCTGAAGATCATAAGCGCCCTTGACAAGAGGCAGCTAGGGTAATGTGAAGGTCAGGGTTATGGTCATAAACTGCCCAAACTCTCAACAAATGGCCTGGGTAGGCTCTGAATGACCTATTAACTAGGGACAAATTACAAAAATTACAAGGCGGCCACGCCTCTTCAAATGTTTAACAACAGGCATAATGCATGTCCAGGATCCCCAGATCCAACCCTGCAGGAAAATCGTTTGCTAGGAGCGAAGGCAAGGAGCCAAAGCCCCCAAGACCTTCCCTCGACTTAGGACGTGGTGAAGCAGCCACAGGGGTAGGACCTCAGAGGGATTTTCAGAGGCAGGAAACTCTTGACATAAAGCTCTGGGTCTTGCACATGTTTTTCAGTGTCCTTACTACCTAGGTTCATGGACCAAAAACCAAAAGAGCAATAGGCTCTGTGTCTCCCTTTCCCTCAACATTCTTGGGGCACTCATAACTGGCTCTGTGACATCACGACGTTGCCAAGGCAACAGGACCAACACCATGGACACAAGTCTAGTGCGGGAGAGGCTTGATGTGAGCAGCGCTGGGATCCACAGCCAGAAGGCACCGTGGGGCAGACAGAGAAACCGGAAGCCAGCCCGGGTATGAGACAGTGCATCATCATTGTTAATTTTGTTAAGCCTGATAATATTGTTGT